AGAGTAAAGCATCAATTCACTTTGTTTATCAGAGGTAAGCTTCACCTCGATTGAACGTTTGTTATGCCACGGATGGGTAAACGTTGAACTCGGCCGTCGAATGAAGAAAAAGATGTTTTCCTCGTAGTCACGGACGTGGTACAAGGAAAAAATCCTATAGCCTCGCGAGCAATCCAAAGCCAAGCATCGACTTTCAGTCGCGTTTCGAAGTTTTTCCACAGAGCAACAGAGAATTCCATGCTAAGGTAGCCGTTTATAGAAAAGCTTACGGTTATTTGCGAAACGAAACGAAATGAAAATGCATAATTTTCGAAATAGAAATCTGTAATTTACGAAAAGGAAATCTGTAATTTTCGAAACGAAAATCTCTGCTGAAATCTCTACAGGCTGGAAGAATGAATCGGTCAGTTCACCACAAGTGTAGATTGCATACGCAGCCTACAGACGATAGATTTTATATATTTGTAGAAGTGACGTCTTAACTATAGACCAGTTTTATACGCTCTTGTCTTTACGAGTGCAGCTCAGGAATATGCTTAATAAAATAATTATTGCATTCGGTTTTCACATGATAGGGATAATTATCAAAGCCTCTGTTTGTGTTATCTGCCTCAGCCTTCGGCTTCGGCAGATAACCCAAACTTTGGCCTTGATAATTACCGCTATCATGCTCGACCTCATCCAATAATTGTTAATTATTATTATTCAACTGTGCTTCGCAGAGTACAAATAACGCCCAAGACGAGTTCAAATATCACGCGATATTTGTACTCCAGAAATATCCGCGAAATTCGCCCACACTGAAATAACAGCTTTGTGTGCTGGATATTAAATCTCTTATTTAAACGTTTTGTTGTGTAGTATCGCTGATTATTATCCAACTACACCTAGACAAGTGTAAATAACGCCATATAGACGAGTACAAATGTCACATGGACGAGTAAAAATATCACGCGGTATTTGTACTCGTCTATTGTAGTACCGGTTAAACTGGTTTTCTCGCATCGCGCAAGCGAAGAAGTGGATTGTAGTTACGGAAAAAAAAAGTGGCGGACAATTTCAATCATATTTCCCACGACGAAGAGTCAGAATGGCTGGCAAATACAGATCCAAGTTCATTTGATGAATCGAACGAAGAAAAACCAGCTTGACGACCAGAAAATTTCTTCATTTAATGAAGAAAATAGAAACAGCAACACAACAACGCGCCAATTCCGTTCCGCTTCGCATACTTCTGTCACGCACTCCCCCTAAATATCTACGAAATTCGCCCCCAGAAACAACAATTTGGCGTGTTGTAAAATAAATAACTTATTAGCCGTTTTTCTGTTTAGTATCGCTGAGTATTTTTACTCGTTATTTGTATTTTGACTCGCCCTACGCGCTCGTCAAAATACGACACAACTCGTAAAAATACTCAGCAATAGTACACAACAAAA